AGAAGGGTTAGTGGTTTCACAAACCACGAGCGTGGTGGTTGAACCGTTACATAGTTCAGAGCGGCGTCCAGCACTCTGCGGCGTCGTTTTAAGCCCTGTTGGGCTCCTCCTCTCCGAGTGTAACACCAATCACACACACACAGGTGAGGGGGACGAGCATGCACGGTCCACGTGAACACTGCACTGCAAGGTGGCGCCGGCAGGGCTCTTCCTCGTCGTCCTCGTCAAGTGTGTGCCGCTAGTCGAGAGTTCCCACGATCCTGACAACGTACATCAAAGGGTCTGCCGCACAGCTCGCCTAATTAGCGGGGTGATTGCCGGTGGCCGCCGCGGTCCCTTCCAGGAAGATGCTGTCTTTGTTGTCCTCTTTCGTCGTGGCGTCGTGGCGACCCGACGTCTCATCCTCCGGCCAGCAGGGACAAGGCCTGGCGGGCATAGGCAGTCGGCCGGTCGGCTACTTGAATGGGGATCAAAAAGTAGCGCCGTTCTCCTGTCAGCTCTGGCGCCGGTCACAGCAGCTTCCCCGTCGCCAGTGAATCACCGAGGTCATCAGGCACCACTGCTGCTTGAAGGGACGACAAAAGGGTCGGCATTTGAAAGACGGGAACTCGCCTTTGCTTGCTGCTTGGTCTGGATAATTGCTCAGATCTTCGACAGCGTCTGTCAGACTGGGTGCCGAAGGGATTGAGAGCCTCCCCCGTGGACCGGCTTACGCACAACGGCGACTGCCCAGATGAATTTCCAGGCCAAACTTAACAGCATGTAGAAATTGGTAAAGGGGACTTTGTGAACCGTGTACAAAAATGTATGGGCACGGCATTGCGCAACCTCATTTGAAGAAGCAAAGCTTCTGGGCTTCATAGTCTTGGTGGAAAAGGTCGGCTGATGGCAGACCTCATTACACACCTAAGGTTTTAGTACGGATGGGTACTGAGATGTAAATGGAATGCACAAGGCTGTGAGGGCTACCTACCATCACATAACCTCAAATGAAACAGTGTCAAACCATTCATTTTGTCCGACAGGTCCCTGTTCCTGGGGCCGTCAAAACGCCGCAGCGGCTAAGGGCGAGCCAGCACCGAAACACCCTCGTAACCTGCCTTCTCATGTTTGTCAGGCTTTGTTGCCTATTTATGAACGCCTGAGTGACTAGAAATTACTTGAAAGGTGCCAACGAGGAATGACTCTGATCAGTAATGAGAGCCTCCACTCAGTGATACAGTCACTTGCACTAAAGGAGCGCCACGTCTCACTTTTTACTCTGCAAGCAGCTATGGCTGAGGCAGTACTAAGATATAAGGCAGGAAACGTCGGAGAAACTGCATCAATACTGAAGGAACTGACCCTAAGGCCTGGCACATTCTGCAGTAATTGTATGGCTGAAAAAGATCAACGGCAATTGGAAGCTTCAACTCCAAAGCATGCATCAGCTGAAAATATGCACAAAGCTCGGAAGAAACGGCACACAGACAAAAATTCTCAAACTGATTATGTTCCAGGAGTATACTAACTATTTATGTTCCAGGAGTATGCTAACTATTTACAACTAGTAAAAGCTAATAAACTTTTAAAAATTTTTTTGCACATTTGTGAATTAATGAGTGTGTTTTTCTTGATTTTTCTAGAACAATCTTCTTACTCATTTTGCTTACTTGGTGCAAGAACATCTCAAGCTCTAGAATAGCTACATCTATATTTTTTTTTTTGCTATATGATGCTGAATGCATGAAGCTTGAACTGCTGCAAACAGATTCTTCTTATATAATTTTTTATCTTCTTTTATTGTAGTTCATTAGTAGTTATGGTGTAAAAACCATAAAGCTTTGATGGGCTGTTAAATTGCTTATAGATGTTGAATTTCAAAACTGCTTGCAGCAGTTCAATCCTTATCCATTCTGCTTTGCATTGATGCATTAAATACAACTTTGTTCCCTGTTTAATTTTATTTATTGTCACATCAATAAATAGTAATTAAAATTCGATTATTAGATTAACAAGAAACAAGAATTACATTTTTGAGATTGGCATAAGAAAATGCATATACCTGTCATCTTTTGTCCTGTGTTCGGTTCTGCGCTGGGTATCTTGCTTAGCGATCAGTAACCTACAAATCTAAACCTTATCTCTTCTGGAGAGTTTTATTGATAAGCTATTAAACTGGTAGACCACTGCCAGTCAATTAGTCAAACTTTGTTATAGCGTACCTGTCAGGAATGAGACTTGAACTTCACAATTAATGGTAATATGCATGAATCACCGAGCACAAATCTGCATCCCCCGACATGCACCATTGCAGTCTACAAAGAAATACAGTGCCACAGCAGATATTGCCTGAAGTGCCCGCCACAAAGCATTTTTTTCTTTTTGCCAAAGTGCAGAAAACTTTTTTGCAATCTCGCATGGCCATCCAATAGCATGAGGTGGTGACATCAAGGAGTATTTTGAAATCATTACAGGGTGCAGCATACGCAGCGACTGGGATAGTGACAGCACGGACAGTATCAGGTTTCCTTAATACATTTGTACATGTCTGTAGAGCGATCTACTATTGAACAAAAACTGACAGTTTCCTTGAAAACAGGCACATTCTCATTAAGCTGATTGTTTCTGGCTACTTGCATGCAGCATATCATTACTTGGCCCTCATTGTCACTGCAGGGCAGTTTGCTGCGCTGTATGCACACATTTGCAGTGAGAGTGTTCTTCATACCCACTGCACTTTAGTGTAGAGTGTGGCGAGTAGCTTGTTGGGTATGGTGGTGAGGACTGCCTGCAAGCGGTGTGCACTCCGCGATGCTCGAGTGGCCCTGGCAGCGGACGAAAGTGTGTTTGTGTCTTTTTCTAATATAAGGGTGCAGTATCGTTACAACTGCACTATGTTTGCTGTACTGTATGCGTGCGTTTAGTTTGATAGCATTTAGTTTGATGCTTTTAGTCCGCAGCAACGAGCTGCTTTCGAAGTACGTAGTTCACATTTGAACATTTTTCCGCACAACAAGGCGGCAGCGATCAGCGGCCCAGCAGGTTCATATCGTCGCCCGTTAAAAGTGCACTGCCCCACATATGTGCCCAAGCAGATAGCAGAAAATATGGTGGTGAAGTTGTTAGCACGTATGTCAGTGGCTGGCACCTCGCCTTTGTTCTTTCCCAATGCTTACCCGCAAAGGGGCTGCTTTGATAGTTTAGAAGTCAGAATTGTTGACCGACTGATCTGTGCACTTGTCGAAATGACGAAAAACCTTTTGCAGCACATTGTGCTGTCGGCAAGTTTAGTGGTGCTGTAAACCTGCATAGCACAAAAAGTTATTGTGCATGAGCAGGCTACAAACTGACTTGTAGGCACTGGACGAACCACTGCGGCCTAAACAGCCAGTGAATGCATTAGGCTCTATGAGACTAGGCAAGGATTTGCCACAACTACGTTTTAAACATAAGTGTGATTAAAGTGCCTATGTATTAAAAAGGTTTGGCTATGATCGACTTAATTGCAGTGTACACTATTTAAATACCTTACTTCCTCATGTAATGAATGCACTCTCATAATAAATGCACCCCCAACTTCAGTCATCATAATTTGGATTTTTTTTTGTCTCCTGCATAATAAACGCGCCCCCTACATTCATCCGCTGTAGTCGGGCTAACCGACACCTGGCGCCTTCTCACCCGTCGGATGTTGGTTCTCTTCCGTATTTTGTATTTTGCCGAGCTACCTCGGCTCACCCCCCCCCCCCCCCCCCGCCCTTTGCCCGTTGCCGCGTGCCGTATTGTCTCTCTATCTGTGCGCACCACATCCCCCGTCTCACCTGTGCACCATAGCGGGGTCACGAGTGGTGCCAGTGTAGAGACATCACAACTGGTAAGCACACAGCGAGCAAAGGTCACGGAACTGGCCACGCCAACCGACTCGGGCAGTTTCAAAAAGCCCAACCACGTGCACGCGATTATCGAGCGATGACGACAGGATTTGCTGTCGCGAAGGGTCATTCGTCGCTATCGCATAACAGATTTTTGGAAAACCAGAAAAAATTGCACGTCGTCCAGAAAAGATCGTGATGATTTCCGCAACATGGTAGCACCCCCGAATCTTGCTTCGTTTGTTATTAAGGCGTAGAGGAATTTCTCATGTAAAAGCGAGGTGGCGGCTGTATTTTGTCATTAATCTTGTCATCGACAGTTTGTTTTGATGCTTCGGGGGTAGCTTGCTGCAATGTTGGTTACTTGCTACCTTGCTACAATGTTAACGACGTCATGGTTGTCATGCGAGGTTGCCACGAGGTTGAGAAAGTGGGTTGTAGCGTACGCTTTTGGGCACCTCTTGAAATCACAGCAAATACCACTGTTGTGGTTAAACGATTGCGAGAAAAGATAGCCGCAAAACGTTTTATGGCATGCGCGGGCGGCCCGGGGACAGCTTGCAAAAGATAGCGACATCGACCACTGAAGATAAGTAAAGTGCAACACAGAAGCTATTTCCAAACAGTGTCGCATATGTCATTTGTGAAAGGCCGAATGACTTAACTTTTTTGTGCATTACCGTATTTTTCGCCCTCCTAAAAGAGTTTTTATAAAATTAAAAAAAAACGCACTCCCCACCTTTGCTCCTATTTTTCGAAAAAAAAAAAGTGCGTTCGTTATGCGACTAAATACGGTACTTGGACACTGGCATGCTGCTTCTGATATCATTTATAAGTGAAACATATGAGTGCGCCTTGCCAAACTGAGAGAGAGACCTTTGTTCTGCAGTAGACTTGTGTGGCCTAAAAGCTAATCATTTATTGCAAGGGAAAGCTTCTGTCAGTCGATATTCTCATTGTGTAAATAATTACTGCAGGTATGACAGATAATTTCAGGAATCTTGTGCTTTAAATAGTCTATTCTGTTCTTCCATTGAATATCTGTAATTGGTCATATTTTTACGTATTGGTCTTTTGAATTTAGCTATCACTATTGTGGTGCCACATTGCTGCTGTAAGTCTTCATGGACTTGTTCTTCATTGCAGGGATCTATCCATGACACTTTGTGATCCATATGCAATCAACTTCCTCGCGCAGTCGGCTCTGAAGATCATCAACCACTTAATTAACATCGAAGGACTTCCTAGAGTGAGACATATTTATAGCCATCTTGAAATGTGGAAAAGACTGACATTCTGGCATTTGCAGGACAACCAGGTCCTGGTACTATTGCTGCGCATGTTGGCTCTTGGGCTTCAGGCATGGGACATGATCAGTACCCAGCAGTACAAAGAGCCAAAGCTGGTGAGTTACAATTCAATCATGAAAGCCACGCCTAGCCGTACCAGTGTTCTAAGAGTTTGTGAGCTGCCATAACGAAAGCAGTGAATGTAGCAGTAATTATCATCACCACACTCTAGCGATGGCTAACTGTTGCAGTTCTCTCTACTAGGGGTGTGCGAATATTCAAAATTTCGAATATTTTTCTAATAGTGCTTGCTATTAGATTTGATCAACACTGTAATTTTACTTCAGTCAAACACTGCTACAATGAAACTGATAAGCGCGCACAGTGGTGGGAAACATGTGCCAGCCTGCACCAACTGGAAATCATTGCACCATACTGCTCCAAAAGAATATTTTTTAGGGGCGAAGCTCCTTAAAGCGGCACCTGTTTGTCCCTCATAGTAGTGTGTAACATGTCTTACGCTTTGACCTGCAAGGTGGTGCTGGTGGGAGATTTCTCCTGTGTGTTGTTGAACAATAAAGAATTCGCAGAATGCACGTTAACTAAAAGCCCAATTCTCCCGTCTCTCATTCCCCATTAGCATCCATTGGCATGTACATTGAGCACTATCTGACGAGAAAGGGTTGCTACGTTATACTCGCTGGGCGTAACCTCCTTAGTTTTAGAAAGGTTTAGCGAGCGTTGGGCTGCAGTGCTATGAATACAGTGAACTAGTATATATCATGAACTCGAGGTGGTTAAAGGTGGGAAGTAGACGCGAAGCACAAGCTGTAAGAAAGTGTGCGTGTGCCACCTCCCGTTTAGTCTTGGAATGTCCGCTGGATGGCGGCGCTTCTATATGCGGAATATATGATGAAAAGATGTGAGATGGTGGTACTTCGAGTGTTGACTAGATGGACGAACAGACACACAGACAGATGCATGGACGGACACACGGACGGCTGCACGGACGCATGAACGCATGGACGGACGCAGGGGTGGATGCATGGACGGACGCAGGAGCGGATGCATGGACGAACGCAAGGATGGATCATCATTCCAATAATCATTCATTCTGTGGATATGCTGTGATTTTTTGACTAATATGCGCCATTGCTGTGCCACAAGGTGGTTTTGGAACCGAATGTACTGTTGACAGCAGTTCTGTGGAATGGGCATCTCCATTCCATTCCAATTTCATCAATAATTCCAACTTGCCGTAATTTGATTCTTTTAAATTCCTCGAAATGAAAAAAAACTTAGCCCATTCCCATTCCAGGAATGGCCAGGCAGGTCAATTCCATTCCTACAATTCCTCAACGTAAGAAAAGCATATCTTGATAGTTTTATCAAACTAAGAATGATTGTATAAATGTAAAGCTGATGTCATCAGATGCATAAGAACTGCAAAATTACGCTAAACACGTTACCACGGTTGAGAAATACAGTCGAGCCCACATATAATGGCCCCACTTAAAACAAACTTTTGCTTAAAACAAAAAATATCCACGTGACCATGAAAATATACATTGGTTGAATGGTTCAATGGCACAAAATCGCACTTACAACGAACGTCTCCGAGCGCCGGTGATCGGTTACAGCGAACAGAGTCGGCGCTTTGTCGACTTTTCGGGAAACCAGATCAGTCATCGGCGAGATGCCTATACATTCTTATTGTTAAATGCTGACCCTGCCTCCGCGCCCCTCTAGTTGCAGCTTACCCCGACCGCTTTTTGTTACGCACCCCTCCGTCCTTTGTTCCCCCACTACTCTGAGCACCTTGCATCACCAGATGAGGCCCGCTTTTCCACACTGCCACCGATCTTTCGAAGACCGGTCGGCCATCCACCCTGTTTTTTATCGCTGGTACTGTCGTCGGCATCGCCGGCCAGGAGTGACCAGACCATTTGCCAACATCGGCCACCGACTGTATCCGGTCGTCTGCGTCTAGTGCACGCGCGTACGCTACCCCACTGACTCTGATAACAGTGGAAGCTTGGGCTAGTTGGTGCGTAGTCATATTTGCAAGATGTTTCAGCACGCGAACAAAGGAAAAAGGACAGGGTAGACAGAAAGAGCGCTGACTTCCAACTAACTTTATTTCTCAGAGTGGCAAGAATATATACTGCTAAAAAGGATGATAACAGAGCATGAAGGTAAAATGCAAGCCTAATCTACACATCAGTAACAAAACACGTGTGACGGTTCCTCTATTGCCTCAAAGCCCAGCCAGGTAATCACGTTCAGCCTGTGATAAAGCAATCGATGATGTGCTTACACATTTATCTCCTAGCAAGTGTATTTTTTCGGCTTTGATAATTTCTCGGGTAAGCTGGTCCCTGTGCCTTGCCAATATTGAGCACTGATCAAAGAGGGGGGTGCACCCACAATCTCGGCAATGAATGCCAAGATGCCCTTGTACCACATTGTGCACATTGTTTCGGTGTTCTCGGAGGCGGTCATTTATGCACCTGCCGGTTTGCCCGACATAGATGCACCCACACGTCAGTGGAATCAAGTATACGACTCCCACTGTGCATGGGACGTAGCGTGTCATGTGCGCGACAGAGCACGAGGCAGAATTCGCACCAGGTGCATTGACCCGTTTGCAAAGCCTCTGCAATTTTTCCGGTGCAGAAAAAACGACAAGAACGTTGGCGTCTCGAGCAATCTTTTTTAGCCTGTGTGAGACGTCGTGCACGTAAGGCAGTACGACAGGCCGGCTCTTTCTGACAATGTTTCGCTTATCCGGTTTGTCGCCTCGCTTCAAGACAGGGACCAGCTTTTCCGCCACCGAAACGAGAACATGCGCGGGGTAACCAGCTTTGGTAAGCCGCTCCACTTGTAGAGCAAAGCTGTGGTGTACCATGTGGGGGCAGGACTTCTTTAAGGCATTGACAAGGCAGGGGTTAGCAATGCCCCGCTTGACCTATTTAGAGTGAGCTGAGCTGAAAGGCAGAGGTGGCTTGCCGCTTCTTGGTTCATACATCCAGCAAACATGTCGGGATTCTTGCAAAAGCTTCACATCTAGAAACTTCTGGTTGTTATCAATGGGTGATTCATGGGTTAGAACTAGTGGTTTCAGGCACTCTCGGAAAACAGTCAACACGTCAGAGGAAATGGTCTGAAAATTTTGACTATCGCATTTCAACAACACTAAATAATCATCAACAAAACAGCAAACCTAAAAAACTACAGAGTCGTCAAGCTTGTTTGACTAGACACGATCATGATGTGCTAGAAATATGTCACTGAGAATGGGTGCCAAACATGAACCAATACATATTCCACTTTTTTGTAAGTAGTTTTTGTCTTCCCATGATACAAAAGTGGCCTTCAAATAAAAACTGAGTAATTCTAATAAGCTGCTGTTATGAATTCCAGTACGCGTTTGGAACTCTGATGATATTAACCTGTCTATGGATTCCTCTACACATTTAAGTAGTTGTTCATGCGGCAAAGAGTAATACAAGTCCTTGATATCCACAGACATTGCCTGGAGTCCTGTGTTAGTTCGCCCAATAATGTCAATAACAGCGTCAGAGTTCTTGACCAAAAAAAGATCGTCTATTGTTATATGTTTTAGCTTTTCCTGCAAGAAAAGTGCTACAGACTTTTGCCAGGTCCCCCTTTCTGTTACAATGACCCGCAATGGGCAGTCAATTTTGTGAGTTTTCGCAGAAAAGAACAGGTCAAGGCTAAGCTTTTTGCAATTATCTATCGCCTTTGAAAGCTTTTGAAACCACAGGGCCCCAGTAAGAGTTTTCGCACTCTTCTTAAGCTTATCCAGACCAATCTCATCATTCTCGTTGAAAAGAGACTGCATTGCCTGCATAGCTTTCGCCTTAAACATTAAACGATGAAGAACCGCAAAACCACCCCCCTTGTCAGCCGGCAGAAGTGACAAGGAATGTGCCTTTAGGTACGCGACAGTGCTTCCTGTATTGACAACTTTGTTCGAAGTCTTACATCTCGAGAGCACCTGCACGCCTTGGGCAACACATCTATCACATTCAGAGTCAGAAGCACGACGGGCGACTTGCCTGACCAGAGTGAGGAGCTCGTGCGGTGTTCTTGAAGGTGCCACCACGTACTTTGGTCCGAGGCATAGGGTGTGCTTAACGTTGTCGGGAAGAAAAGCATCCTTGAGAACATGCACACGGTTCCTAGCAGCTGGAGACTTTTTTGGTGTGATGGCCCGCAGGTAACTGAGCGACTGACGCCACATGAACTCGACGTTTCGGTCTACGAGGCTTAAACAGAAGAAGTGTCGTGAGCTTGAGAGCTCACGACACTTCTTCTGTTTAACTGCTGTGCGTTCCTTCCCTAGGATTTGTAGTTGCAGGGCCTAGGATTTGTAGTTGCAGACGAAAACTACTTACAAAAAGTGGAATATGCATTGGTTCATGTTTGGCACCCATTCTCAGTGACATATTTCTAGCACATCATGATCGTGTTTTGTCAAACAAGCTTGACGAGTCTGTAGTTTTTAAGTTTGCTGTTTTGTTAATGATTATTTAGTGTTGTTGAATGCGATAGTCAAAATTTTCAGACCATTTCCTCTGACGTGTTGACTGTTGTCCGAGAGTGCCTGAAACCACTAGTTCTAACCCATGAATCACCCACTGATGACAACCTGAAGTTTCTAGATTTGAAGCTTTTGCTAGAATCCCGACATGTTTGCTGGATGTATGAACCAAGAAGCGGCAAGCCACCTCTGCCTTTCAGCTCAGCTCACTTTAAATTGGTCAAGCGGGGCATTGCTAACCTCTGCCTTGTCACTGCCTTAAAGAAGTCCTGCCCCCACATGGTACACCACAGCTTTGCTCTACAAGTGGAGCGACTTACCAAAGCTGGTCCCTGTCGTGAAGCGAGGCGACAAACCGGATAAGCGAAACAGTGTCAGAAAGAGCCGGCCTGTCGTACTGCCTTACGTGCACGACGTCTCACACAGGCTAAAAAAGATTGCTCGAGACGCCAATGTTCTTGTAGTTTTTTCTGCACCGGAAAAAATTGCAAACGGGTCAATGCACCTCGTGCAAATTCTGCCTCGTGCTTTGTCACGCACAGGACACAC